ACAAGTGTACGCGCAGACACAAGTGCACTCTCTATTCCTGTCACTCTCATACTCCGGTGGGACGATTACTCGACACGACTGGTGAGAGATAAGGCGCAGGACCGACGGCTTTACGTGCTCTGCGAGGCACGGGAGTGAAACACCGCCAACTTCCCAACTTCGGGCTGTTACTGAGGCTTATATATACAGAAAGACTCAATAACTATACTTGGCCCGACCCGGGACTCGAACCCAGGACCTCCGGGTGTGCAGCCGTACATGCTAGCCACTACACCACCGAGGCAGTGCTCATCATACTTGTTTATTGTTTAATAATCCGCATAATATAATTGTTACATAATTAATGTTTATAGTCAACAATATATCAAAATTGAATAGGTACAAGAACAATACATGTATAGGTAAGGTGTTTTCTTGTTACATATAAATATTATGAAACATGAATACGACAATAGAAATAAAACAAAACAAACGGTTGTCCGTTTGTTTTGTTTTATGCCGTTTTAAATATTTGTAATTTGTGATCATTTGTTCGATATTCGGCTGTGAATCATGTTATCTTAAGTACATTGAAATGCACATGGATATAGATATTTTTATAATTCTGCTTTTTGAACATCCCACTATTGAGCATGCCTGTCTCTTTAATACGAAGGGGGATCAGTCCATTGTCCACCACGTTGGCCGTTGGTGTTTCGAAAACTTGCTAGGTTCTCTCAAACATGGAGGTTTTCTCACGATGTTTTTCTTCACTGTAAAGCCAAATCTCAGAGATGCGAAACCGGGGTTTGAACCCGCTGCACTTGGTTTTCCAAGCGAGTGCATTACCACTGACATGATAGATATCAGTTGATCTTTACACCAAATATTTCACTATTACAAACTTTAAATAAAAAAATAGGACGAAGATTGACGAGGGTTGGTTGTACTCTTTATTGTATATAGATGCAGTAAGTAGAAATAAAGTAAAAAAATAGGTTTTATTCAGTGTCATTTGTTAACTAGAAATATAAATAAATTTAGATATATATTATCTATATTCATTTTTTTTCTTTTTGGTAAAATAGAAACAAAATTATTCTTATTTTAAATAAATAATTTCTTAGATGGATTAAAATAAAATAATTAAAATAAAATAATTAACATGACAACAAGTATTCTAATATTTTAGATAATATAATAAAAAAAATATAGAAACTTTTTAAACAAAACGTTAATATATTTATAAGTCTTAAAAGGAACAAGAGGATTAAAGTTGAACTGTAACATCGATCCCTCACTATTAATCCAGACTCATTTTAATTTGGTTAAATTAATTTTATAACTTAACTTCAAAGATTGTTTACATCTTACCATTGATTCTCACTGATTACTCATTTTGGTATCGTATTTGAAAAAAAACTGTATTATCTCTGGAATATAATACTGTATAATGGGTTAGGCTCGACCGATTCAAATTAAACTTTTCTAGGTTCATAATTCCGATCTACATCCATATACATATGTTACAAAGTCCCATTAAAAATAATTTAATTATTTGATAGCAAATAAGGGTTCGCCAATTTCAAAATCTCTTTAAAAGTAGGTATAATTTCAACTGCTTTAGTAATAATTGAAACTGCTTTTAATATATACTAGCGGCTCACCCTTGCTTCGCTTCAGGTTCGTCACTAGACGAAAATCAATCTATCCCATGGGAACATAACATTTTTCAGGCATAAAAAGTAATTTATGTGCTATTCCAGATAATAATCTATCTGTGTGCCAAATCTCATCCAGATCCGTTCAGGCGTTCTGGCGTGAAAGAGTAACAAACATCCACACTCACAAACGTTCACATATATAATACTAGCATGAATAAAAATACCCTTTGACAAACTGAATGTATAGAACTCATCAAAATGAAGCATAGACTTGTAAAAACTAGTAGCCACTGAAGAGTTCCATGATTTACCTCCTGTCCTCTCCTCCTCCTCATCTTACCAGTTTGGAGGGATCACAATATTGTACTGTCATCTGGTTTTAAATCGATAATAATAATTAGAAAATTTTAACTAAAAAGAATACCGAAAATCGATTTCTAGTTTGCTAATATATCACTTGAATGTATGACACAAACAAAACATTAAACCCGAATTAAGTATCTACTTCCTTCTTTCCGAAATCGCTAACAACTCACTAAATATTATAAAAACGAGTATTATTATAATCTTATACTTAGTATTGTTCTCTTATTTCTTATCAAAGACTTCATTAATTTAAACAATTGGTTATATAGCAAACTAGTTTTTCCCCACAGCTTCGCTTGGGTGATAAGTGGGGCAGAAATTAAGGTTAGCCTATGTCCTATCCCAGGATGCAATCTGTCATAGATTTTTTTTAACGTTGGGAAATGCATTTACGCACGAGGTGTGGGACTCACCGGCAAAGCCAGTACTACCCACTAAAACCCAACAAAACCTTCCCCCGTCTTAATGGGGCGTCGCAGGATCGCTTACGCATTCAACTACGACGCCCCGACGGCAGGTCTGCCGAAGCAGACCACAACAACCACGGGGTTGCTCCACAGTCCACTCTGCTATCAGAGAAGTACCAGGAGCAACCCGCATGGTACACTGCCCTCCGAAGAGGGCCACCTCCCACAGCCCATCGAAGTGGGCTACCTCCCTGTGCGTTTCTTGGCTTCGCGACTAGTTACAGACAGGGAATTTATAATTTTTGAGAAAAAAATATGAGATTATAATATATTTTAAAAAAATATGTGATTATATATATTTTATGCATTAGTTCTATTCCCCTTTATAGGAATATAGCCATTAACCAGTTATAACGTTATATTTATAGTCTGTGGTGCCACTCGAGCGCTCACTCTGCTTTGTCTTTGTTTCTTTACTCTCTCTCGTTTTCGTTGGAACTGGTGTCATAATTCGTTGGCTCACTATTACAAGGTTCTATGTTAATTTTAATGAAGTTTAGTAATTTTTAAATAGAACTTCGTTATTTTGTTATCGTAAGAAAAACAACAGAACTATGTAAAATTGAATATTTTGTAGTTATAGTGCCGCTATCTAGTGGTTTGTTTTTGCAAAACTGTAGCTAATGACACATAGAACCTTGTAGCATTAATAACTAAATAAGTACTAAAATTGTAACATAGAACCTTGTAATAGTGAGCCAACGATATGTATTATGTACAATTTGCTTGTAATATTTAATCTTTGATTAAACCACTAATTATATTAATTCATCCTTGAAAGAGAGATAGCTTCATATTAGGTTATTTTGTATATCTCTATTATAATAAAATCCGTTAGCTATTTTTTATTCACATTTATTTACCTAACACTCAGTATACAAATAACAAATTGACATTTTTATAAAATTTTAAAACATTATATATTAATTTAAATCATTATTTAGCTTCATGTTTAGTTCTAAAACACTCTTCCTATATTTTTCCTTGGTCTGAGTGATAGTAGTGGATACTCCGCTGTGAGACGTCAGAGTTGGGAAGTCAATTATGCTTGCTGTAGATTAAATTAGCGCGCATCAGCGCGTGATACGGAACTCGGAATAAATGATAGTTATTATCATTTTCTTATATATCACAGGTTTATACAATGTTTTTAAAGTATTTTAATAATATTTTTGGTTTTTGAAGCTATATACTTCTTTTGACACGTTTAGAAAAAAAAGCGAGTAAAATGTTTACGATGCGCGCACACACCGACAGCCAAAAAGTGACATGATGATGAGCTGCGTTCCTTTTATAAACAGGGAGTTGTGACATACGGGATGAAATTTTTAGCTATTTTTGTTTTTTACGCCAAAGAAGTACCTATAACTTCTTACGTACACACACACACGTTTTTCCTATTTTTTTGTATTATATTATATACTCGAAACATTTTGTAAATGAAAGTTTAGGATCATTTTTTTTACTCGACAGATCTCTTCGAAATTCGAAAAGATAATTTGATTTAAAATATCAAAATATTGTAGTAAATCTAAGATAATATCAATTTTAAAAAAGCTAAAACTTAGTTAAACTCCGGTTACAGATATAATACATACATATTTATATATTTATATATGAATAACCACTGTATTTCAGTCTATTTTTAATGACGGTGACTTCGTTCAATTTCGAAAAATGACATGTGGGTACATGAGGAATTTGAACAAAGTCTTTAACGTTCAATAGGATAATATGAAAATATATATTTCTACATGTTATCAGATTATTGTTTTTTTCCCCTTTTTTACCTGTCATTCTATAATATATAACGTGCCTTCTCCATTCTACGCAACATTGGCGAAATAAATTGTAGCCAAAGTCACTTCTAAAAGCCACGAAACTAAAGAATCGAATTGAATTGAATTGAAAATATGTGAATGAAAACTGAAAGTTTTTTATAATTCCAATAAGTTCATTCAAAATAGAATATAAAAAATAGAGATAGACAACTTTTGCTTTAGTTTTTGCAAAAATATAATGATTTATCCCTAATAACATATACGCAAAAATTATAAAATTATATTTGTATGATATATTTATATGTATGTACGAGTAAGTATGTTAGAACATAATATTTTCAATACCTTTATTATTATATACTTACCTATCCATGTCATGATAGTACTGTCCGTTTCCATATTGTTGAATCCTTTCACCAAAGCTTTTCTTATAGAGAGCTTTAAAAATAAGACCGCCTTTGCCTGTATTATGTGTTTTCTTAGACAACACTTGTATTTTTTTTATTGTTTGTGAAGTTAATAATAAAAATATTAATATACCTACATAGAAAATGAACTCAATTCTTACATAAAACTATGTCTAAATCACATAAAAAACCCTTACTTATCCGTCTGTCTCGCTTATTAGAGATAGGAAATTGACATTATTTTTTAAGGATTTCACGTTCTATCTCTAGTAAGGAAAACTTCATATAGATAGGTTATTGAAAACCGCTGTTAATAATGTCATATTAATTAATCAGGGGGTACACAAGGACACGAAAACCAATAAGGGACACCATGACAAGAAAGATGTGTTGGACAAGTACGACGACCACGGTGCCAGCGACAAGAAACACCATAAAGAAGATAAACACTTCGGCTCCCATCATCATGAGGAACATGGGAAGAAACATGCTAAGGTATGCTAAGCAAAAATTTTACGAATAATTCTAAGGCCTAATTTTTGAACACTTAAATTATCTACAAAAACAGACAATTTCGTATGATAGAGGTATCTATACAGATAAATAAAATCGAAATGTCTATTTGTAATGTCAAAATAATAGCATTTTACTAAAAACACAATTTTTTACATGTTTGTCTGTCTGTCTGTTTGTTCCGGCTAATCTCCGAAACAGCTGGATCGATTTTGACGGGACTTTCACTGGCCGGTAGTTGATGTTAAAGGAGTACGCGAACAGAGTCGCGGATTAATAGGACGTCAAAAGGGCTAAATCGCTGTAAAAAATAATATTTATGATATAACGTATTTAAAATTATTATAATTATACAACATAAATGGTTAAGATTCCAATAGTTTTATGTATTAATAATTTTTGATTTATTAAGTATGAAGAATCAGGCAAGCATTCAAAAGGGCATAGTACAAAAGGCAGCCATGATATTCACAAAAAAGATGAATATGAGAAGAAAGTAGAGTTCTTCGAGGAAGAAGGAGATTCAGATGAAGAAGAACATGATGGAGGGTATCATAAAGAGAAAGAACATTCTTCGGTAAGATTTATTTTATTTTCAACTAGCGGCTCACCCTCGCTTCGCTCGGGTTCGTCTTTAGGTACGTTTTACATAGATATAAATAGTTATTAGCCAGCGTTAGCCATATAAGATTTAATTTTTTTTCGTTAATTTTTCATTTTTTCGCTTTATTAAAACCTTCCGTGGACCTTAAGGGACATATGTAAAAAAAATTTGCCGAATTGGTCCAACCATTCTTGAGTTATGCGCTTACCAACATTCTTTTTTATTTATATAGTTAAATTAATGTAATATTTATTAATTTATGGACAATAAAAATTACCACGGAACCACGAGCTAGTTAATTATACAAAGCACATACAAAAAAAATCAAAGAGCAGTTCTTGCTAAAAGGAAGGCTTTTAGATTTTATAGAATGATGAATATTAATATCTAGTGTCAGGGCTTGCAATCATTTTAATACTCAACGTTTTCTCCTTTCTACGTGAAGTAATCTGTGTTCTACTGTCACGCTTTGAAGCCATTAATAAATAACAAGAAAATTGAACTGAATTGAACAATCTGTTAACTTTACTAGACCATCCACACGCAACGTGCTGCTTTTAATTTTAAATATATCGTCGTTTCAGCTGAAACACGTTCGCTGTTGGATATAGGACTCCCCCAAAGATTGAAATGTATATTATGTACAAAGTACATTAAATTATACTAAAATATTATACTAAAAAGTCTTATGTATATTTAAATGAAAAAAATGTGTTTTTCACATAAACATTTTTAAAATCTTGCTCTAGTATATGGTTTTTAAGTATTTATTTCAATATTTTGACAATATTCAAACCTCCGACATTTCTCACAATAACTAAAGCCAATCAAACCGTAGCATTTTCAATCATTTCTAAAAGTAAATAATAAACTGAGAAATAATTTCACAAGTTATTTTAAACTATTTGATACCTATCCAATTTTATATTTTAATTTATAACTGTCTCCGAGTGCTCAAGTGTGACGGGCCCCTTATTTTTTCATCATCTGATGTAATACGCTTTATACTAATTCATTCGTGCAATTCTTGCATTAAAGAGTTCATTTATTATTTAGTATTGGGAAATTCTATTTTGCAGTCGTAAAGATTTGCATTACTGTTACTTAATATAAGAAAAAAATAGATAGAATATTTAATAGCTTAGCACAAAAAAATATCGTATTTATTTTTATCAGTAACTTACGACTTTTATGCTGTAAACAAAAAGAATTATTATTAAAAGAGCACCTGTTGAGTTCCTCTTGGGCTCTTCTCAGCAGAGCTGCCTTTCGAGCCGGTGGTAGCTTCCTCGCGGACTCACATACTGAAATTTAGTTTATTTGTGAAAATTTGCTTATGAAATCCTATATATATATATATATATATATATATATATATATATATATATATATATATATATATATATATAAAATATATCTGATTTGATTTTCCTTGTTTTTAGCAACTTAATATGTACTTAAGTGGGTAAGACATACCCTTTATATAAGCGAGTACAAAAATAAATTGCATATTTTAATCTACATTGATACAAGATTCCTTGGAAGTCCAGCTATTCCCAAACAAATATATCAAACAGACAAACGTCTTTCAGACATATGTACATCTTATTGATCTGATTGTTAAAAACACATAAATTTATTAATAGTGAATTTCATTATTCCTCTAGTTTTTGCTTACGGTTCCACTTGTATGTCAATAAAAAGTAGCATGTGTCTTATATTTGCTTAAATATTTCATATTTTTCACAGATATATTGATTTTAGAGCTATCACGGTTTGAAGAAGTAACAAATATTATCTTTTATATATAAACTCTGTATAGTATATATATACAAACCAAAGAATAATCAGTTCTAATTTTCTAAACATTAATTCGAACTTACTGGTCATAAAGTACTATTTTTAACGAAATAACGTGCGTTTTACTTTTGTCATCCGAAAAGCAATGAACAAAAGAGATTTGAAAAAAGCGCATAATTTCGAATTGAGCGCTTTTTTTTGAGGACACTTTTGAGACGCTAATTGCGTATCTTGAGTTTTTGTATGCCATTGATTAATAAGAAATTATTGAAAGTTCAACCCCAAAAAGTTTAAAAGTTATTATGCAAAAAGTTAAGAAATGCACGTCTTTTTCACACTGTTTCCATATAAATATACTAGTTTGAATCTTGCTAAAGTTTAATTAAATTATCCTTAGTTGTTCATTTTTATTATACACTTAGAATATTTTATGACTCGGCAAATGTTAGATGGTCAGATGAATATTCATTTTAGTTTATAACTTGTAGATGAAACTACCTTTTCGGAATTTGTCGCGGTTTTATTTTATATTTTTGTTCCCGACATTTTTGAATGCTTTACAGGAAACATGATCACGAAAGAGATAGCCTCAAAAGTCATTATAATATAGTTGTCACAGACAGTGCTTACCCACGAAATTATACAGCGGTTAGTACCTATAGATTTCTCAGAAATGAGATATTTTCTCGCAGTAAAAAGTATCCTATATGTTGATCCGGATTATCATACCCATTAAAATCTGTCCAGTATTTATCTCGTAATGCGTTCCCAGACAGACAGACAGACAGACAGAAGAAAATCTAAAAACTATGGATTCGGCCTGTGTATCGACAATAATGACCATTTCAATAAGATTTTCCAAAAAATATTTAATGTACAGCTTCGACTCAGTGTTTTACTATATGTATAGAAAGAGACACAACTTTCTATTTCTTCCAAATAATTGTATAATTTTGCGCCTCCGCTAACAACAAAGAGACTAAGTTTGATAAACCCGACTGTAATAAAAGTTAGTTAATTAAAACTGTCAGTACATATTTTCATTACAAATAATATTAGAAAGTTTTCATAATTTAATGAAAGGCTTACTTAAATAATGTTACAAATGGATTTAGATTTTGGTTACTTTACAGTTGGAACTTGGAGTTACAAAGTTTGTTTTTATTTAACTGAGCTTTATGAGATTAACTTTATAAACTTACATTGATTATATAATAATAAGATACTTTCTAGATACAAAGTGAAATATCATACTTACTTACCTTAATCAGAGAATTCCGAGGGTTGATATTAATAATGTAAAATCTTCTGGATCTCTTTTAAAAATGGGTTTTCTACAAGGATCTATTCTTGACCCTTTTTTATTCTTAATATAGTATATTGATTATTTATCTTCCTACGTAAAGAAATTATGTGATAGATAAGAAATATTGTGCTCTTTGCTGATGCTGATGCCTACTTAATTTTTAAATTTGACCGTAGCAAACCAAATTATGATGAAGTAAGCTGGTTAAAATTAAATAACATAGTATTAGATGCTATAGAAATAAAATGTGTTGAATTGACATTGTTCAACGTAAATTATAGAATTTCAAAATTAGCAAAATCTGTCAACAAATTAACGAAACCAATAATCGACATAATGATTTGCATACAGATAGGTAGAACATAGACTACAAAAGTAGTCTATGTTTCGGAAAAAATTCCGACTACATAAAAAACTTTATGAGATACTATTATAACTAACTCACTGATATTATTTTAGGGCGGGCACTTTAAAAAGGGTGGTTTGGAAGCGGCCCACGCGGGACACTCGAAGGGCGACACCAGACACTTTGTTAAGGGTGGACACGGCAGCCATCATAAGGTAAGGAAAAATAGCATACATCGAATCATCGAGCGGCATATTTAAGTAAATATGTTGGGACATTAACACACAGCACCATCGAGTTCCATGGTAAGCTACGAGGAATGTGTTATGGATATGAGATAGTTGATACACTACACATACACCAATAACTTTAATACATCCATATTATAAATATAAACACCCATGACTGGAGTACAAACATTTGTGCTCATCACACAAATGAATGCCCCCAGCGGGACTCGAACGACTGCTGGTACAATAAATCACACTGGTGACTACAAACTGAGCCAAACGTGACGTTAAATGACCCGATATATCTTGTATGTCTTGTATATCCATGTGTTTTTTCTACTCATAGGGATTTAAAATAACTACAAAACTTTAAGATGTTTACCGTTAATTTAATAACACACAATTTGTACAAATTAAATTACATCTAGTTTTCATAAATTACCATTTTAGTGGAGATGGGTTTGCAAGCGTACGCCATCTCCAAGCTGCCGAAGTTTTTTGTTTATGTATATGAATGTGCCAATATCCGGAACTATGAGTCCAATAAATTTTTTTTTATATTTTATGGCCTACTTACCCTCACTTTACTCGGATCCCTAGGTACGCGAATTTAGTTCACAATTTCATTATATATTTTTTTGCGTGGCACCTTGATTTTTTTCCTAAAATAAAAGTTAAGTTAGCCTAAGTTACTTCTTATAATATCAGTTACCTGCTAGTGAAAGTCACGTCAAAATCGGTCTAGCCGCTTAGGAGATTAGCCAGAACCAACAAACAGACAGATAGATACACAAAAAATTAAAAATTGTTATTTTTTCTTTTTAGTGCTCTATATACTTTCATATGTATTCAGTAAAAAGCTGTTAGTTTGAGATGACAAACAGACACTTAAATTTTATTTATCTATATTCATTCATAGAGACTTTTTTTTCAATTAATAAAATACTATTGTCACAATATCAACGTTTTCGTGAATCTACTTGGTAATAAAATAACCTTTAAAGATATTATAATATCTCAATTCAATATATACTTTTTCATAGCATTTCCACAAACTATTCGTTGTGGAACTTTAACTTAACAATCTCAAGTAAGAAACTTGAAGGCATTTTACAAACCGTGAATATAATGAAGTCCGTGCTGTCTCGAGGTTTAACTCATTTCAGTAGTTTATTTGCATTAAAGTCTTGTTCTTGGAATATAATGTGACTATTACTATACTTTAATTCTTATTGTACTTAAAATACACGCTATATACATTTAAAAGGATTTTTATTTAAATCAAACTTTTTTTTGATAAAATTAAAAAATCTCAATCATAAACGGTACAGCAAAGCTCGAGTTATGAAACAAATACGTATGTAATATACGAATATAACACTAGCCTATTTTTCTTTTTTAAAACATAAACTTTTACGATACTAATAATTATTGTGATCATGATATTATTGCTATTACTAATCAAAAGCAAGAGCTACTCGTAATAAAAATGTTGCCAGTATACAGTACACTACATCAAATTCGCTTGAACTTACTTATAAAAATATATTTATTTCCAGGGTCACAAAGTATCTGAGGGTAAAGATTCACACGGACGCCATAGAGGAGGACACCATAACTTTGAAGGTCATATCGGAGGCAAGAGATGGGTCTACCACCATGGGTACCCAGCGAAGAATGCAAACCTCGTCATCATCGATAGACGAGCTGATGCTTATCAACACGGACCCTCGTATTATGGATAGATCATATTATTATGTTATTGACGACTTTTCTTACTATATCACTGTTAGGCATGGACTTTCAAGATAGATTTTTATTAAAAGCTTTTATTTAAAAAGCTCTATTCAAATTCAGTTTTTCTAGATAGATGATGGATGAAAAACTAGTTTAAAAATAGAAACTTGTTTTTAATATATATTAGAATTTAGAATACTTCATATTCAAAGCAATATACAGTAAAGACTAAAGTGTGGTCCATAAAATATATGATATTTACTTAGGAAATTGTGTTGTTTTATAGATATAGTTTGAGACCCTGCAAAGGACTTAAGAGAGGAAACATGCGGATCAATTAAGGGAGTGAAAATGGGGTGGAAGTTTATATGGGAATCGATCAATTCTCAAGTAAGAGATATAAAAAATCATCATGCCTGTGTATATGTATATCTATACTGTAACATTCAGTTATTTTATGTGCCAGTTTGTAGATTTTGACAATAGATTTTTGATATGTCAAGTGGACAGTCGGTGATTCGGATTATATAAGTTAGGAATATAAAATATAAATGTAAAATGAGTATACAGAAAAAGCGAGAAATATAATTGTTAATTGCCAAACATTTGTCTTCCTGGAAAACCCTTCTGAGCTGTTTTAATAGGTACATATAATAAAATTCTGAGTCGAATCTGTACATTAAATATTTTTTGGAAAATCTTATTGAAATAGTCATTATTATCAAAACAGAGGCCGAATCTATAGTTTTTAGAATTTTTGTCTGTATGTCTGTCTGTCTGTTACCGCATCACGGAAAAACCACTGGAGGGATTTTGATAAAAATTTGGTATGGTGGTAGCTGGTTATCTGGGTCAACATATAGGATACTTTTTACCGCGGAAAAATATCTCATTTCTGAGAAAAAATACAATACAAATACATAAAAAATCTTTTTCTGTTACGGCAGCAAGATTGTGGAATTCATTGCCTGATTATATTTTCAAAGATGATCCCTCATTCACTACATTTAAGTTTAGAATTAAACAGTACTATTTATCAAATCAGACATAAATTATTGTAGATTAGTATGTATGTATGTGTGTATATATATGTGTATATATATATATATATATATATATATATATATATATATATATATATATATATATATATATGTGTACAATCATAATATTTAGTTAATATATGTACTTTAATATTAAGTCAATTCCATTTAATGCTGTACTGTGCCTACACCGCACTTATATTAACTTATTTTCTCACTTCTGAAGGGTTTCTGGAAGAAATCTCTTAAAGAGATAAGTTATCCTTTGTCAACATTTTGTTATTTTATTTTGTATTTTGTCATATACTTTATGATACATAAATAAATAAATAAATGAATAAAAAATACAAAAACTGCAATGTAAGAGTTTACTAATACGTAAAACCTAAGAATTTGATTTTCGGTCATCTGAACGCGGGCGGAGCCGCGGGCAATGCTAGTAGTCTATATATTCCATACTAAGAGTCAAAACATATCTATGGACGAACCAGACCGAAGCGAGGGTGAGTCGCTAGTACATCATAAATTAAATTATGTCTAATATTAAGACGAATATGTTGTCTTTTGGTCCCAATTCAATTCAATTGTCTTGTTGATGGCTTCAAAGCGTGTCAGTTGAACATAGATTACTCCGCCAATGTCACGTAGAAAAGAGAACTTTTTTATCCCAAACATTTGGACATACATGTCTTAAGGGAACGACGGGACTGACATTTAGCTCTGTTGCTAAGAAGTCCCTAAATAAAAATAGATTAAAAAAAAAACATTTGGACCTAACTTTTGGACTATGAAAGTTTTCATTTTATGATTTCAACGCATCAAATATAAACACATATATATTATACACATATATATATATTTTTATGATGCATATTTTGTATTCGTGATATTACTTTAGTTTTTTTATTCTTAATGTTTCTCAATTAGGTGTTTAATAGCATTATAATATTATAATCTGTTTTACTTCGGAATTAGTCTTAGGTACTTCACGGGTCTTATTTATAAGAAATATTATTCTGTGGACTTTTTTTTGACAATTGTTTATGTAAATAGTTTAACGATGTATTTCTTGACAAAATATTTTATTCTAAAAAAATATATAAGTAAATACATACATTTACATATAAATAATTATTTCTTTGTTTGTTTAAAAAAATATAAGTTATTTTCGCAATATATATATTTTCATTTAAAAATAATATTACTTAACTTATGTACAAAATTTCATATTTACTCATATATTTATATGGTATGGTTAAATGAAAACCGCAATAACCAAGCGCTTACATCATTGATCATACCATAACAGAAGCCATGTTTTCTGAGAAAAAGGGGAAGGAACAGACAGACGGGTCATCTGATATGGAACTTTGTTTTTCAACGGAAAATATTATCAGCTACGAAAGTTTTTTTAAAGAATATTGTGCTATCTTATAAGTTCAAAGTAAAAAGATATATATGTCATATTTTTTACTATCGATTATTTTAATCGTTAATAGGGAATTTTATCTATACTAAGTACGTACATATACTATAGTATATTACAATATGGTTATTAAGTTTTAAATAATATTTTCACTATCTTTGTAATTTTTCATTTTCTAGAAGTCCAAGTTAAGTAAAACCTAATGAAATTATTGTTAATTTTATTTTTTCAAATGGGTATCAGTTATTATTATAGTTATATACTAATTCCATTTAACGGTCAATTTGCTCAATTAGTATCTTTATTATATTTCATTATAATAAACTTTGTTATTATTTCAAATTGTCCTTAAATATCACATGGTACTAACAAATAAATATTGCTTCGAGTGAAAATCGAACTTTTGACCCTTCTCTTTAGGTTCTATTTTTCATCATCAATTCAAATCATATAAAAAAAGATCTAATAAAATTGTGTGCATTGTATTATTCACATTAATTTTGTTCATTTTATCATTATTGTGTGAAAGTGTTAGTGTCGTTACGTAATTTTCTTTCTTTATACTAAAACGGTTCAAAAATTTGAGTAAAATTCTGAAGAGATATATGTGGCTTATATCCAAAACATTTATTTATATAAACATATATTTATATATTTATAAGCACAACTTATAAAAAACCAGAGAAACTACAGACAAGAACTATATATTTTGTAACGGACTAGTAGTATAATTGCAAAATGTTGATGGATTTAGATGAAAATGCACAGATATGAGAGATATCAAATCAAAATCAAAATATACTTTATTCAAATAGACTTTTACAAGCTGTTTTGAATCGTCAATTTTACATTTTAAATTAAAATTAAATGTCAGCGTAGTCAGTCCGTGAGGAATCTACCACCGCGCGGCTCGGAAAGCAGTTCTGCTGAGAAAAGCCAGCGAGAAACTCAGCAGTTGTTTTTTTAATGATAGAGATATATACTAAGATTGATATGATAGAGATACATACTATGTTAAGAGAGTAAGCTGGAGTAACTCATGGGCTCTGTAAGGTATCTAGGGAAACAAAGGTAAGTCGCTACTATTAAATAAAAACTTATAAAGAAATTAAAACTATTTTATAGATAACTAAAAATATAACTAAAAATTAAAAAAAATTTATCTTATAACTTCTCTTATTACATGTTTTTATAAGTCATAAAATAAACCTATGGTATAATCATTAAATAAACCTACGGTACCTTCAATATAAAAAAAAAACACAAAATGGCAAGCGACACCGCGGTTAATTGCTAACAATCCTAATATGAAGAGCCAATACGATATCTTTAATATCTCAAATTGGGTTTATCACTTTATTTATAGCGTCAATATTACATATTGTAAAGTAATTATTTTTATATCTAATATTCATTTACGAGTTGACTAGCCTTCGCCTGGATGTTAACACGTGTTCGCTTAAATTGACGATGATCTCTCGACCAATTTCGTCCATTTTCCAACTGCGCAGGAGGTATTATAGTACACGCGCAAATACAACCACTCTTTATACTTGTTACTCTCAAATTCCGATGGGATGATAATTCCACACGACGAGTAAGAGAATAGGACCGATAGATTTAGGTACGTGATATCTGAGGCACGAGGGTGCAACATCGCCAACTTTCCCAACTCCAAGCTGTTACTGGGACATTTTTAAACACCCCCGACACACCCCCAACAAAAAAAAAAGTTATTCAAATCGGTCCAGCCGTTTTTGAGTTTTAACGAGACTAACGCAATATATATATATATATATATATATATATATATATATATATATATATATATATATATATATATATATATATATATTCTAATTATACTGAATTGAAAGATTTCCAGGATGCTTGTATTTATAATTACTAGTTAAAAAAATCTAAAATAGTTAAAAATGTTGTTAGGAACATATTAAACATCAATCTTACTCTTTTAGTACATATTTTGTAATATGTTCTTAGATTTACGCGAATATTATTAATATGAATATTACATATTTTGTAAAAAAGAGTAAAAATAACTATATTCGGTTAGCATATTTTTAAATAATAAAAAAGCAAGAAGTAAATTATCACTTCTAGATTGTATTACAGGAATATAAGAGGATCCGATGTTGGGCCGACAAACGAGATAACATTTTATAGCGCGAGTGTAAACCGTACGGAACCAGTTTATATCTACACATAATAAAATTCTAAGTCGAATTTATACAAATAATACTTTCTTAGATTTATGCGAACTATCTTTTCGGATTTTTTCGCGGATTTATTTTGATTTTTGGTCCCCGACGTTTCGAATGCTTTATGGCAATCATGGTCACGGGAGAGACTGAGGTGTTAGATGTATCTAAGGTATTATATAGTTGTTACAGACAGCCTACCCACAAATAACAAAATGAATTCAAAAAATTGAAAAATGGCACCAAAGTACTTTACAATATTTTATAACTTTAAACATTTTTATAATTTTAATTAGTTTTATAATTGAATATGGAAT